GGTGTCCACTTGGTCGCTGGTTGTCCGACGATTTCCATGATGCGGTCGCGGTAGTCATCCTCACTGAGTTGCTCCACAGGCACTCGCCAAACATAGGTGCATGTAGCCTTCAGGAGGCTGCGGTCAGTGGAAGGGATCCACCCCACTGCACTCCGACGCCACTCGCCACCCATGCGTTGCGCATTCGCCCGTTACTTGTCCTCATATGTCTCCCGCTTCTTCACCCAACTGACTAGGAAGGTTCTGTCCATACATGTGATCCGAGGGGGTTGGACATCTGTCACCACCAATGAAGGTCCACTGGAGTTGAAGTTGGGCCCCCATCCTCCGCTGCTTGGCGTCGGTGGACCACTCGAAAGAGGTCCCCATCCCGAACTGCTTGGTAGTGTAGTGTCCAGCATCCGCCGATCATGTGCCGCACGCGCCACTTTGGCATGGTCGAAGCGCTTCTCCTTGGCCGAACGATTGGCTTTGTTGGTTCGCCGCCGCTCAGCTTGCTTACGCTGTTCTTCTTGGTATTCCTTTTTATCTTCCTCGCTGTCAGGAGTACTGTCCGGTCGATTTCATCGTTCATCACGTAGCTTAGCTCGAGCTTCCGACTTTTCTTCCGCTCGCTTTTCAGCATCGGACTTCTCTGGCGGCGGGTAGCCTTCGTCGACATAGGCGCATTCGATTGGGGGTCCTGGTAGTTGTTCCCAGTTCGGTCCCATGGTTTGTCCACCATATCGCCGCCGCGATTCATGCCAGGTCATAGACGCCGCTCACGCGCTACCCATAGCCTTATTCGCCGCAGCCAGCTCTTCCATCGTCTTCCGGACTTCCTCGCTCTTGGACCCCTCCACAGCCGGCAGCACATCCGTGGTCCCTCCAACTACCGGGACCAACGGTGGTTTCGTCACTGGTACTTCCTCCTCAGTTTCGCTGCTCGCAGTTGCTGGCGTCGTTACCGCGGCCTTCGGCTTCTGGGCGCGATCTTTCGAGTTCTTAGCCATTGCTCTCAGTTCCGTAGGTCACTGGAACTAAAGTATACTTTGTGTTGTTTCCCGCGCCAGTGCCAACACAAATAACCAAATGGGGGAGTGCTGACTCCCTGCAAACCACACACTTGATTCACTTGAAGTTAGCACGACGTTGCAGAACCAAGAGTGAGATTCTGGCAGTTGGCTGGGACAGGTGTTCTGTTTTCTACGTCCTAGTACTACTAGTAGTACTACTAGTAATACTATGCCTTTTCATGTCGGTTCGCCAAGGGTCGGCACCCGGTGGCCTCGGTTGAGGACCACCTGTGTCATGGCGGGACTTGGGTTAAGTCGCCCACCACAACAG